CGCGAGATGACCACCACGGTCACGATGTTGCCGGCCACCCCCGTCACGAAGATGAGCACGTAGAGGACCGTGACGGGCACCACGACGTACAGCGGGTCCCGCTGCGGCACCACGACGGCCGGCACCCACGACACTTCCGTCGAGTTGGCCTCCATGCCGGCGGAGAGAGGAGGCACCAGGCGCTTGCTGCCGCTGCTGTCCCGACCCGAGCGGTCCGCGCTGGGAAAGGCGATGGAAAAGGAATTCGTGATGAGCGTCGTTGGAGGGCAGGGCGGGGTGGCAGCAGATAGCGGCGCGGCCGGTCCAGCGCCTGTGCACCTCGAGGTAGGGGGTGGTGTGGAGACGTGTGCACTTAACACTAGCCCCGACACAAAAGCCTCCTAGAACAGGGTCCGGACACGTCTGTGCTATAGGCGGGTCAGGTTAGACTAGACGACTTCCTTAGTTTTTCAAAACATTTCCGTAAATTGAAAAAAAAAAACATTTGCTTTCTCTTACCGAGAAAATGGTTCCATTGAGCTAATGATATAATTTCTATAATTCCCTTGTTCGAACGGAAATTTCCGTTCACGTAACATGATAGAATATTTTCGTTACTTTGAAGGAGCTATCTTTGTTTTATAGAATGATTCTTTACCCCTTGATGCATTGGAAAGTCATCATTTGAATCAACAGAAAAGTTCCAGTACAACATGAGTCATGAAATCAACGGAACCGTTTTCCGGGTGTTTGATGGGATCTATCCCTGCACTCATATCACTCCGAGTTGTTGCACGCACCACGGTGCGCAGTGGGGCGGTGTGCCGCACTGCCTGTGCAGGGACGGGGAGGTCTTCTTTGTTTGCCGCATTATTCACCGTCCATGGGCTCGGAAAGCGCTTCGAAAAGCTCAGAGCAGCCGCGCGGTCGTGACATCATGACGACGGGGAGCAAATAACACACGACGAGCGCCACAACCGCATACGGCCTTTCATGTAGTTCTGCAACTTTTGCCTTCCGAGTGGAAGGACGCGAGGGGGATGTGCTGTGCTGGGCCGGCGGCCCGCGCCTCTCCGGTCCCTTCATATGTACCACTACGTGATGAGGACGCGGCAGCAGGGCCGGGCTATACCCTACGATGCACCGGCAGCACAGGCCCGCTCTGCAGCACACGCTGTGTTCAAACGCCTCTCTAACGCGTGAGCGCGTCGCGATGTAGAAGACGTCCTGGGGGATGGTATGGCGTGGCGTGGCCCCGGAGCTCGCTCGCTCGCGCGCCGCCACGCCCACGCCGCCCCGCGCTCGGCTGAACCCCAACGAGGACGGCGCGGGGCGGGGCGGGGCGGGGCGGG